ATGCTGGTAAATGTACCCGATCATCACCCATATCTTTGACCTGGACTCAGTGTGGGTAATCAAGAAACTGGTGATGACAAAAAGAACACATTTAAGAAAAACTTAAAGTTTCTTGAAACCAATGTCAGTGCTGTCGATGAAGTGATGAACAGTAAACAAAATGTGGTGTAGACATGCAATAGAATATTATTCAGCTATGAGTAAAGAACTAAGTACTGTTACATGGCTACAATGTGGATGAACCTTGAAAACATCCTGCTGAGTGAAAGCAGCTAGACACAAAAGGTCACTTATTGTAAGATTCCATTTATGAGAACGAACCAAAATAGGTAAATCCATAGAGACAGAAGCAGACTTGTGGTTGCCAGGGGCTGGAAGGAAGGAGGAAGTGGAGACAACTATTTAATAGATCTGGGATTTCCTTTTGAGGTAAGGAAAATGTGTTGCTACTACTAGAGGGAGGTGGTGGTCCCTCCGCATTGTGACTGCACTAAATACCCCTGAATTGTTCATTGTAAAATGGTAGATTATGTATTATGTCAATTTTGCCTCAGTTTTTCAAAACTGAAAAAAAAAAATGGCCTAGAAAGGAAAAGAAAATGTGGACATACTCTTCTTGACTGTTAAGTCCACTAACTAATAATGATGTTCTCCAGAATAGATCACATCCTGGGCCATAAATCTAGTCTTGGTAAATTAAAAAAAACTGAAATCATTCCAGTCATCTTTTCTGACCACAGTGCAGTAAGATTAGATCTCAATTACAGGAAAAAAATTATTAAAAATTCAAACATATGGAGGCTAAACAACACGCTTCTGAATAACCAACAAATCATAGAAGAAATCAAAAAAGAAATCAAAATATGCATAGAAATGAATGAAAATGAAGACACAACAACCCAAAACCTATGGGACACTGTAAAAGCAGTGCTAAAGGGAAGATTCATAGCATTACAGGCCTAACTCAAGAAACAAGAAAAAAGTCAAATAAATAACCTAAATCTACACCTAAAGCAACTAGAGAAGGAAGAAATGAAGAACCCCAGGGTTAGTAGAAGGAAAGAAATCTTAAAAATTAGGGCAGAAATAAATGCAAAAGAAACTAAAGAGACCATAGCAAAAATCAACAAAGCTAAAAGCTGGTTTTTTGAAAAAATAAACAAAATTGACAAACCATTAGCAAGACTCATTAAGAAACAAAGGGAGAAGAACCAAATTAACAAAATTAGAAACGAAAATGGAGAGATCACAACAGACAACACTGAAATACAAAGGATCATAAGAGACTACTACCAGCAGCTCTATGCCAATAAAATGGACAACTTGGAAGAAATGGACAAGTTCTTAGAGAAGTATAACTTTCCAAAACTGAACCAGGAAGAAATAGAAGATCTTAACAAACCCATCACAAGCAAGGAAATCGAAACTGTAATCAGAAATCTTCCAGCAAACAAAAGCCCAGGACCAGATGGCTTCACAGCTGAATTCTACCAAAAATTTAGAGAAGAGCTAACACCTATCTTACTCAAACTCTTCCAGAAAATTGCAGAAGAAGGTAAACTTCCAAACTCATTCTATGAGGCCACCATCACCCTAATTCCAAAACCAGACAAAGATGCCACAAAAAAAGAAAACTACAGGCCAATATCACTGGTGAACATAGATGCAAAAATCCTTAACAAAATTCTAGCAAACAGAATCCAACAACATATTAAAAAAATCATACATCATGACCAAGTGGGCTTTATCCCAGGAATGCAAGGATTCTTTAATATCTGCAAATCAATCAATGTAATACACCACATTAACAAATTGAAAGATAAAAACCATATGATTATCTCAATAGATGCAGAAAAAGCCTTTGACAAAATTCCACATCCATTTATGATTAAAACTCTCCAGAAAGCAGGAATAGAAGGAACATACCTCAACATAATAAAAGCTATATATGACAAACCCACAGCAAGCATCACCCTCAATGGTGAAAAACTGAAAGCATTTCCCCTGAAATCAGGAACAAGACAAGGGTGCCCACTCTCACCACTACTATTCAACATAGTTTTGGAAGTTTTGGCCACAGCAATCAGGGCAGAAAAAGGAGTAAAAGGAATCCAGATAGGAAAAGAAGAAGTGAAACTCTCGCTGTTTGCAGATGACATGATCGTCTACATAGAAAACCCTAAAGACTCTACCAGAAAATTACTAGAGCTAATCAACGAATACAGTAAAGTTGCAGGATATAAAATTAACACACAGAAACCTCTTGCATTCCTATACACTAACAATGAGAAAACAGAAAGAGAAATTAAGGAAACAATACCATTCACCATTGCAACAAAAAGAACAAAATACTTAGGAGTATATCTACCTAAAGAAACAAAAGACCTATACATAGAAAACTATAAAACACTGATGAAAGAAATCAAAGAGGACACAAACAGATGGAGAAATATACCGTGTTCATGGATTGGAAGAATCAATATTGTCAAAATGGCTATACTATCCAAAGCAATCTATAGATTCAATGCAATCCCTATCAAACTACCAACGGTATTTTTCACAGAACTAGAACAAATAATTTCACAATTTGTATGGAAATACAAAAAACCTCGAATAGCCAAAGTAACCTTGAGAAAGAAGAATGGAACTGGAGGAATCAACCTGCCTGACTTCAGACTATACTACAAAGCCACAGTCATCAAGACAGTATGGTACTGGCACAAAGACAGAAATATAGATCAATGGAACAGAATAGAAAGCCCAGAGATAAATCCACGAACCTATGGTCACCTTATCTTCGACAAAGGAGGCAAGGATATACAATGGAAAAAAGACAACCTCTTTAACAAGTGGTGCTGGGAAAACTGGTCAACCACCTGTAAAAGAATGAAACTAGAACACTTTCTAACACCATACACAAAAATAAACTCAAAATGGATTAAAGATCTAAATGTAAGACCAGAAACTATAAAACTCCTAGAGGAGAACATAGGCAAAACACTCTCCGACATAAATCACAGCAGGATCCTCTATGACCCACATCCCAGAATTTTAGAAACAAAAGCAAAAATAAACAAATGGGACCTAATGAAACTTAAAAGCTTTTGCACAACAAAGGAAACTATAAGCAAGGTGAAAAGACAGCCCTCAGATTGGGAGAAAATAATAGCAAACGAAGCAACAGACAAAGGATTAATCTCAAAAATATACAAGCAACTCCTCCAGCTCAACTCCAGAAAAATAAATGTCCCAATCAAAAAATGGGCCAAAGAACTAAACAGACATTTCTCCAAGGAAGACATACAGATGGCTAACAAACACATGAAAAGATGCTCAACATCACTCATTATCAGAGAAATGCAAATCAAAACCACAATGAGGTACCATTATACGCCAGTCAGGATGGCTGCTATCCAAAAGTCTACAAGCAATAAATGCTGGAGAGGGTGTGGAGAAAAGGGAACCCTCTTACACTGTTGGTGGGAATGCAAATTAGTACAGCCACTATGGAAAACAGTGTGGAGATTTCTTAAAAAGCTGGAAATAGAACTGCCATATGACCCAGCAATCCCACTTCTGGGCATACACACCGAGGAAACCAGATCTGAAAGAGACACCAGTGTTCATCGCAGCACTGTTTACAATAGCCAGGACATGGAAGCAACCTAGATGCCCATCAGCAGATGAATGGATGAGGAAGCTGTGGTACATATACACCATGGAATATTACTCAGCCATTAAAAAGAATTTATTTGAATCAGTTCTAATGAGATGGATGAAACTGGAGCCCATTATACAGAGTGAAGTAAGCCAGAAAGATAAAGACCATTATGTTAGTATACTAACACATATATATGGAATTTAGAAAGATGGTAACGATAACCCTATATGCAAAACAGAAAAAGAGACTCAGATGTATAGAACAGACTTGTGGACTCTGGGAGAAGGCGAGGGTGGGATGTTTCAAGAGAACAGCATGGAAACATGTATATTATCTAGGGTGAAACAGATCACCAGCCCAGGTTGGATGCATGAGACAAGTGCTCGGGCCTGGTGCACTGGGAAGACCCAGAGGGATGGGGTGGAGAGGGAGGTGGGAGGGGGGACTGGGATGGGGAATACATGTAAATCCATGGCTAATTCATTTCAATGTATGACAAAAACCACTGCAATGATGTAAAGTAATTAGCCTCCAACTAATAAAAATAAACGGAAAAAATAAATAAATAAATAAATAAAATAAAAATTTTAATTAATAAAACATCTGGGATTAACATATACACACTTATATGTATAAGATAATTAGCACGGCCTATTGTAGAGCACCGGGAAGTCCGCTCAATACACTGTAATAACCTCTATGGGAAAAGAACCTGAAAAAGAATGCATATATGTGTATGTATATGTATAATCACTTAGCTGTATACCTGAAACCAGCACGACATTGTAAGTCAACTATACTCCAATATACAGTAAAAATTAAATTAAAAAAAATTTTAAAATAAGCTCTAAGGATATGTTGCACAGCATAGGGAGTATAGGGCTTCTGAGGTGGCTCAGTGGTAAAGAATCTGCCTGCCAAGAAGGATATTCAAGTTCGATCCCTGGGTCGGGAAGATCCCCTGGAGGAGGAAATGGCAACCCACTCCTGTATTCTTGCCTGGGAAACCCCATGGACAGAGGACCCTGGCGGGCCACGGTCCATGGTGTCGCAGTCAGACACGCCTGAGCGACTGAAAAACAACAGCAACAACAGAGAATAAAATCAGTATTTTATAATAAGTTTAAAAGGAGTATAATCTATAAAAATTTTGAATTATTGTCATGTACCTGAAACTAATAGAATATTGTAAGTCAATAAACATCCTTCAATAAAGGTGAACAAAATTTTTTAAAAATTAATAAAACAAAATGGGGCAATGACCAGGCAGCTCCCCAGGTTCCGAGTTGGATGCAGGGGCTTGAACTGACGACCCTCCTTTTGCCCCTCTCTCGGACAGAAGTGGAGAAAACCCGATGCCAGCGTGAGCGGGAACACATCCTTGGGGCGGTGGACTCCCAGCGGCCCCGGCCGCCTGGGCTCTTCGTCCCCGAGTGTGACGATCACGGACACTACGCGCCCATCCAGTGCCACGGCAGCACTGGCTACTGCTGGTGTGTGGACCGCGACGGCCGGGAGGTGCAGGGGACCAGGACAAGGCCCGGGATGAGGCCACCGTGTAAGTCGGAGAGCCGCGCTGGGGGCGGGGCGGCCGGGCGTTCGCGAGCAGTGCTGGGGACCCTTGCCTGGGGCACAGTTGGCGCTCTCTGCCTGCCCTGAATCCTGACCTGCTCCACTGACTCGAAGCCTGTCCCCTCCCTTCCTCTCTCCCCTCTGCCCCGCTTTCCATCTCCCTATCACTCACACCCCTTCACCATCTCTCTCCCCACTTCCCACACCCTCCTCTCCCCCTTTATCTTTTCCTTTTCGGTGCAAACCTGTCTTGTGCAAATGATGGGCCGGGCCTGCTGGATAAGACTGCGATTGATAGCAGAGAGTGTCTGTGTGCTTGGGGCTCCTGCGGGCAAACCCTGCCCTGGGCAGCCTGGCCTTGCAGTGGCTCTGTGCTGGGGCGTGGCAGGGATGGGAGAGACCAGCCAGAGCCCCTCCTCAGCACCATGTCACTCAGGCATGGAGCTCTTCTTCTGTCACACCGGCCTCCTGCAAGGTTGTGCCTGGACCTTTAGGTACTTGATCCATTTGTAATGATGCCAGGAACCAACAGCCACAACGGTTTCTGCCAGCTGGGTCTGCGACGGCCCGTGATGGTAGGAAGGCCCCAGCTGGGACTGGCCAGGTTGTGTGACACTGGACAGACACTTGCCTGAGGCTTGGCCTCCTTGGCTTCAACATCACACTTGAGCAAAATAATCTCTAGGATGCTTTTCAGCTCTAAAATTCAGTCCCAGATGTAGCAAATGCTAATTATCACAAGTTACCAAAATCGAATATAATCATTCCTGACATCTCCATTCACCAGATAGCCAATAATCATAAATTGATCCCCTACCAGATAGTTTCCCAGAGCTGCTAAGAAGGAATCACTCACAAACTTCATTATCCGCCACCCGCCGGCCAGCATTAACCTGGTGTGTCAGATGCCGTGGTCTTGCAGGGATCCTCAGAGGGAAAGGCCCCAGTGTGGGCCCTAGAACCTCAGGGGACAGGCAAACAGAGGCAGGGTAGGGAAAGGAACCCCTAGAGAGAGGCAGACCAAGGACCCCGGCGTCCCTGATTTGGGGGGGTAGTGGGTTGGCCAGAGAAGGCTTTGCAGGCAATACTGCCTGACCCAAGGTTTTGACAGGACCAGAGTCACCCGCACTGGGGAAGTGGGATTGAGGAGATCTGTGCTCCAGGTGGCAGGAACAGGTTGAGGGGCAGGAAGGAAGCCATCAGGAGTTTGTGTCCCATGCCGGGGGAGCAGAGTGGAAGTGAAGACATCAGAGGCTCTGCTCAGGCATCTGGCTCGATTCTGAGGGCAGGGGGGAGCCCAGGAAGGGTTTTGAGCAGGTGCTGGTGTGGCCAGGTTTCAGTTTTAGAAAAGCTGAGAGGAAGGAGTGAGACCATGGCCATGGGGAGGTGGGGGCTGCTGCAGTATTTACAGTTAATCCTGGTGAGAAAGGGCAAGGGTTGACCTGAAGTACAGAAAGTGTGTTTGGAGGGATAGATTCGAGAGATATTAAAAAGTTCCACCAGATTGGTTTATGTCACTGAGTGGGTCTAACAGGCACGATGGGCCAGAGAAAAGAACTGAAAATGAGCTTGGCCATGACCTGGTTCTGCCCTCTCACTGCAGAGGTCTGTAATGTGTCCACATGGTGAGTGGCAGGACCGGGTCGGGGACCCAGGTTTCCCAGCACCCACCGCGTGTTCCTTACCCTCAGCACAGGGAGCCTGTCCCCTCCTGGGACCTTCTCCCGCCAGGTGAACCAGAGCTTTGCTGGACACGCAGGTCAGCGGGGAGGAGGCAAGGCTGCGTCTCAGGGAGGATGAGCCTCGCCCCTCGTTTTGTCCTGGAAACTCCAGAAGGACTGTGTTCCTGCTTGTGGGGCTTGAGACCCTCCTGCCCCCCGTGGGATGGGGTGAGTGGGGCAAGTCCACTCTGATGGACTTGCCTAGACTTTCAAGTCCACTGGGCATGGAAATGCTCAGCAGCTTCCCATGGGGGTGCGAGTTCCCTGTGGCCAGGATTTCGCAGTTTCTTCTATTGGCCTTGTTTTGGATCGCTGCTGCAGCCTGAATGCCCAGCATCCAGGGCAGGGCACCCTTAGCCAGGTTAGTTCCATTAAGGGGGAGGCTGAGCCATTTTTTCCACTTGACGTTTAATGTTATACTCAAGCCCTGTGTCATCTTCATCACAAATGCCCTTTGATTGGCTGCAGTCTTTCTGCTCCTTGTGCTCTCAGATATTAATAGGCATATGTGACTGTGCAGTTTGTGGTGCCGAGAAGGTGACATGACCGGGTGTGTGGGTGCACGTGTGTGAGTCCGTGCATTGCCCACACACGTGTGTTTGTGCATTCCTGCTGCATATGGGCCTCGCTCAATGCCATCTCCTGCCACCCAGGTCTGAGTACAGTGGCTCCTCCAGTTCACCATGGACCCCCAGTTCCTACTGCTGTGATCCCCCTGCCTCCTGGGACCCACCTACTCTTCGCCCAGACAGGGAAGATAGAGCATCTTCCTCTGGAGGGAAGCACCATGACCAAGTCGGAAGCCAAGACACTGCTTCACGCCCCGGTAAGTGTTGGCTGATGGCACTTTAGTTACGATTTCTGCTTCCATGGCCTGGAGCCACAAGCCGGGTGTGGTCAAACCAGGGACTGGGACTAGATCCCTGGACCCAGGGCCTCTTCATTCTGTGTGACCCTGGGTGTCCACCTCTAAATAGGATCACTTTATTCCCAAGTCCCCTCCCCTCCCCACCAGGAGATTCAAGGGTGGGAACAGAAAACAGAGTGCCTGCTAGAGACCACTTTGGAATCTGAGCCCTAGTGGAGGGCGTCACCTGCGCTTGCTATATCTTATCTGCACGCATCTGCCAGATTTGATCTCACCATCCCTGCTAAATCCACAAAGTGACTCATCTTTTGGCAGCCACTCAAACGAGATCCTCATGTCTGCCTGAAGGCAGTAACCAGAGCTTTTCAAAGCTTCAAAGATGCATTTTGTGAGCTGGGGAATTTTTGTCCATTAGATAGAGGTCGGACACTTCTGAGAACATATTGTTTTATCTGGGATCCTGACCTTCTGCCAGAAAACCAAACTTAAGTCCTGGTGGAGGCTTCTGACTGTGGACTTAAGGGGTGCCAGGACAGTGGTGGGCCATCAGGGTCCTCTAAGGAGGGGAGAAGTAGCAGCAAGTGGTCCATCAGGCCTTGGAGATGAAAGTCCAGCAGAAATCCTCGTCGCCCCTCAGTGCTGGTTGCAGAGCCTTCTTGAAAATTCTGGATAGAAATGTTGCTTTCTTCTCATCTTCCTTCCCCACTTCCCTGTCTTTGCTGCCTGCATCAATCTCCATATCACAGATGCCACACACTGCCACACCCCCTCTTTTTGGCCAAAGTCAAAGAAAGTCTGCAAAGTAAAAATGCTTCTTTTTTAAAATTTTATTTTATTGAAGTATAGTTGATTTACAATGTTGTGTTAATTTCTGCTGTATACCATAGTGTCTCAGTTATACACACACACACTCACATATATATACATTCTTTTTCACATTCTTTTCCTTTATGGTTTATCACAGGATATTGAATGTCGTTCCCTATGCTATACAGTAGGACCTTGTTGTTTATCCATTCTCTACACAGTAGTTTGCATCTACTAATCCCGAACTCCCACTCCTACCCCTCCACACCCCACTGCCTTGGTGACCACAAGTCTGTTCTCTGTCTGGGTCTGTCTCATAGATAAGCTCATTTGTGTCATATTTTAGATTCCACATGTGAGTAATGTCATATGGTATTTGTCTTTCTCTTTCTGGCTTACTAACTTACTAGAGATGGTAATCTTTAGGTCCATCCATGGTAAAAAATGCTTTTCAAAAGCCTCTTGCAAAGCAGCCTTGATTGTTCTTCCCCAGCACAAAGCCCTCTGATGGATTCCCCCTTCACCCAGAGGAAGAAAAAAAATCAGTTCTTTTCATGGCCTTTGGCTACCTGTCCCAACCCCATTTCCTCCAGCTACACCTCACTCACTGGCTGCAGCCCTCGCCTTCTGGCTGATCCCCAACTCACCACACACACTTGCACCTCAGGTCATTTGCGTTTGCTGTCCCCTGCCTGGAGTTTTCTCACTCTAGACACTTGCACGGTTCACAGGTACATTGCATGGTTCACATGTGCATAGACACAGCCACATGTGCATTACACAAATTTCTGCTGCATATCACTTCCAGGAGAAGCCTGTCCTGGCTGCCCTGTTCAGACTGCAGCCTCCACTCACCCGTCTCTGTCTTTCAGCAAGCACTCAGCACTACTCAATACATTGTATATCAGGGTACATGTTCTATATCTCATGTATCTCTTCCCACCAAGAATAGAGACCTGGATGGACCTAATGTCTGTCATATAGAGTGAAATAAGTCAGAGAAAAACAAGTATCATATACTAAAGCATGTGTGTGGAATGTAGAAAAATGGTACAGATGAACTTGTTTGCAACACAGGAATAGAGACGCACACATAGGGAATGGATGAGTGGACGGGGGTGGGGGTGGGGGGGTGGCAGGTAAGGTTAACTGGGAGATTGGGATTGACATGTGCACTCCCATGTGTAAAACAGGTAGCTAATAGGAACGTGCTGTCTTGCACTGGGAGCTCAGCTCAGTGCTGTGATGTCCTAGAGGGGGTGGGTAGGGGGGAGGTCCAAGAGAGAGGAGATAGATGTACACATATGGCTGATTCACTTTGTTGTCACTTTGTTGTATAGTGGACACTAACACAGCATTGTAAAGCAACTATACCCCAATTAAAAAAAAAAAAGAATGTAAGCACACCAAGACCAGAAATTGTCTGTCTCTTTCATGGAGGTATTTGTTTCACAATGGTGTTTCCAGACCCCAGTGTTTGGCAGTTTAAAAGTATTTACTGAAGGAATGCATAAGTGATCTTTATGATTTCCCGTTGCTTCACTGAAGCATGAATCCCTCAAGGGGCAATCATTGTTCTTCTTTTGTATCTACTAGCACATACTACCAGGTGGTAGGAGTGGGTTCAATTCCATGGGAAAGCCATTTTCCCCCAACACCAAGGGGAGAGGCTTAAGTGTCAAATGAGGCTATGAAAAGCAGGAAACTGAGATGTGATCAGTGGAGGGGAAGGTGCTGAAACAACAATATTCACTGTGTCTTTCCTCTCTATTATCTTATCTATCAATCATTTATCTATCCACTTATGGATACCTCTATCTAGCTATCTGTTTTCACCATCTAGGTATTTTAGTTTAGCTGTACCTAATGCCACCACTCAGTGGCATTAAATACCACTGTCATCACCATCCATTGTCCCAAACTGAAATTCTGGATCCATTCTGCAACCTCATTCTAGTTTCTATCTCTAAGAATTAGCCTGTTCTAGGGAAACACCTCTTAGTGGAATCATGCAGTGCTTGCTCTCTTGTAACTGGCTTACTTCACTTCACATGATATCTTCAGATTTCATCCATATTGTGACATGTGTCAGAATTTCCTTCCTTTTTATGACTGAGTAATACTCCATCATATGGATATTTCATATTTTGTTTATCTGTTCATCAGTGGAGAACTTGGGCTGCTTCTACTTTCTGGCTTTGTGAATAATGTTGCTATAAACATGGGTTTACAAGCATCTGTTCAAGTCCTTACTTTCACTTCTTTTAGAAATAAACCAGACATGGAATTGCATGGTAATTCTGTTTTTAACTTTTTGAGGAATTGCCATACTGTTTTCCCTAGCAACTGCACCATTTTGCATTCCACCACCAGAGCACAAAAATTCCAAATTTCCCTGCTACTTTGCTAACATTTATTATTTTCTGTTTTTTTCATTGTAGCCATACTAATATGTGTGAAGTGGTGTTTTGTGATTTTGACTTGCGTTTCTCTAGTTGGTAAAGAATCGACCTGCAGTGCAGGAGACCCCAGCTCGATCCCTGGGTCGGGAAGATCCCTGGAGAAGGGACAGGCTGCCCACTCCAGTATTCTTGGACTTCCCTTGTGGCTCAGCTGGTAAAGAATCCACCTGCAATGTGGGAGACCTGGGTTCAGTCCCTGGGTTGGGAAGATCCCCTGGAGAAGGGAAAGGCTATCCACTCCAGTATTCTGGCCTGGAGAATCCATGGACTATATAGTCCATGGGGTTGCAAAGAGTCGGACACAGCTGAGCGACTTTCACTTCACATTCACAATGATTAGGGATGTTCAGTTCAGTTCACTTCAGTTCAGTCACTCAGTCATGTCTGACTCTTTGCAACCCCATGGACTGTAGCATGCCAGGCTTCCCTGTCCTTCACCAACTCCCAGAGCTTACTTAAACTCATGTCCATTGAGTCAGTGATGCCATCCAACCATCTCATCCTCTGTCATCCCCTTCTCCTCCCACCCTCAATCTTTCCCAGTGTCAGGGTCTTTTCCAATGAGTCAGCTCTTTGCATCAGGTGGCCAAAGTTTTGGAGTTTCAGCTTCAGCATCAGTCCTTCCAATGAGTATTCAGGACTGATTTCCTTTAGGATGGACTGGTTGGATCTTGTTGAAGTTCAAGGGACTCCCAAGAGTCTTCTCCAACACCACAGTTCAAAAGCATCAATTCTTCGGCACTCAGCTTTCATTATAATCCAACTCTCACATCCATACATGACTACTGAAAAAACCATAGCTTTGACTAGATGGACCTTTGTTAGCATCTTTTCATATGCTTAAGGGCCACTTATATATCTTCTTTGGAAAAATATCTGTTCATATCCTTTGCCCATTTTGTGGTTGGGTTATTTTGTTGTTACTGAGCTATAGGAGTTCTTTATATATTTTATCAACCCCTCATCAGATACATGATTTGCAAATATTTCCTCACCTTCCATGAGTTGGTTAACTTTTCACTTTGTTTACTGTATCTTTTACTGAACAAAAGTTTTCCATTTTGATAAGATCCAATTTATCTGTCTTTTGCTTTTGATGTCATAGCCAAGAAATTATTGTCAAATCCAACATTATGAGGCTTTTAACCATGTTTTCTTCTAAGAGATTTGTAGTTTTAATTGTTACATTTGGGTTTCTGATTCATTTTGAGCTTATTTTTGTATATGGTGTAAGGTAAGGGTCTCTGTGTCCTTTATGACCTGACCTCTGAAGGGGAAGTGTTTGCTGATAACTCTAGATCTCCCCTAAAACATCTTCCTGGTCTTCCACTTCTTTGGTGTCCAAGGTCTTTACTTTAAGTTTCCACATACATTTTGGAGTGAGCTTGTAAGTTTCTACTTTAAAAAAAGGAAGGGAAAAAAATTTTTTTTTTCATTAATCAATCATATTAAATTTATAATAAAAAATGCCCCTCAAAAGTTAAAAAAAAAAAGGAAGGAAAGAAAAGCCTTCTCAGATTTTGATATAGATAGCATTGGATCTTTAATTCTTAATTAGGGAGGATTAACATCTTAGCAGTGTTAAATCTCTTGATCCACTAAACTAACATCTTTTCATTTATTTGCATCTTCTTTAATTTTGCTATGCAATGTTTTATAGTATTCAGTCTAAAATATTTTAGTTTTGTTGCTACTGCAAACATTATTATCTTAAAATTCTACTTTTTGCTGATATGTGGAAATACAGTTTTCTGTTGATCTTGGATCCTGCAACCTTGCTAGATTCAATTATTAATTAAAATATTAGTATAGATTCCCTAGGAGTTTCTACATAAATAATCACATTGTCTTAAAATAGAGTGATTTTACTTCTTCCTTTCCAATATTTGCGTGTTTTATTTCTTTTTTATGATCTTCAGTTAAGGTTTCTTAGATAATATACAAAAAGCATTATCCATAAAAGAATAATAAATTGGACTTTACAAAAATTTAAAACTTTCGCTCCCAAAAAACATCATTTAAGAAAATGAAACTGAAGAGAAACTGAAGCAGGTTCCCATGCCCTTCTCCAGGGGATCTTCCTGACCCAGGGATCAGACCCATGTCTCTTACGTCTCCTATATTGGCAGATGGGTTCTTTACCACTAGCGCCTCCTGGGAAGCCCCATAAATATACAGACTTATATATGACAACAGATTTTTATCTGAAGTTTATAAAGAACTCCTGCCACTCAATAATTTAATTTTAAAAATGAACAAAAGACTTGAAGACACTTCATTTTGAAAGGTGTCCAAATGCCTGTAAGCAAATGAAAGATTCCTACTATCATGAGGCACTAGTAGATGGACCACTCTTACCACTGGTCTACACTTCCAGGACAAAGTCATCATTGGACTGGCCTTCGACTGTGTGGACAAGATGGTTTACTGGACCGACATCAGTCACCCTTCCATCGGGAGAGCCAGTCTGCATGGCGGAGAGCCAGCCACCATCATTCGACAAGGTGAGCAAGCACCATTGGTGGTTTTGCTTTTAGTAGCCCACGTGGCTCCTGGGGGAGAGAGCAGAATTGTGTGGTGTATAGTTGCTTGCAGGATATGGTGATCGGAGATGGACTGGGTTCTCGGGCTCAAACATCACCCTTTCTAGCCTTCTCTGAACAGTCCTCCAAGGACTCATCACTAAATCATGAACATCTTAGCTGGGATGTGGTGCTAAATTACAGCAGGGTAAGTGTCCTTGCCTGTCTCCGAAAGCTTATGTAGCCCATTTTAAGGCATAATAAAGGCTAAACTCAACCATCCAGTTTGGATATATGCGTCTCCCTCTGGCTACTGAGCCTAGAGTTGATTCTCAGACTGTCTGCCCCATGGGTGGTCCATTAGGCAAAAAACAGAAAAATCATAAAGATGGGAGGGTCACAAGCATATTGGCAAATACTGTCCCTGAGAGGTGAGTCTATTCCCAAGACAGTTTTCAAGTTGAAGGGTTATCACTTCAACCTGTAACCTCTTGGTGGGGTGGGTCTCCTCTCTTCCATCTCACCCTCACTGGACCTTGCTCAGATTTCCAGAGGAGTACAGCATATCAGGCTGAACTTTTACAGACATTTCTGTTTTTGTTGTATCACTAATGATAAACCACGTGACAGTTTGGCACAGCCTACCCCTCAACATTTAACCTCAATTCCTTAACTTATGGGTGCCAATTTAAGCCAAGGACTCTATTATTTTAATGCCTACATTCAACAAATCAAGACTATTTTAAGTGGATATGTTTTATCAAGATTCAAGTCCATTATGACAAAAAGTCCAAGGGCCTGTAAAAATTCTCCTTTACTGAAAAGGTCAAATATTGCACATTGCTAAGTCTGTGACTTAACCAGCTGCCTTGCAGATAGTTTCAGTCAAAAGACATTGCCATGCCAGTGATATGTGCTGTGTAAAATCATCTTGTTTTCTCTGCAAAACACTCAAAGTTACATCTTTAAGGACTTCCTGGCTTGGGGGAAAAAGCAAAGATACATCTTTAAAATATTTGAGCCTCTTTGGTATTTCTTTTTACTGATGCTTGGGCCTGAGTGTTATTGTTCAGTTGCCAAGATGTGTCTGACTCTTTGCAACCCCATGGACTGCAGCATGCCAGGCCTCCCTGTCCCTCACCATCTCCTGGAGTTTACTCAAACTCATGTCCATTGAGTCAGTGATGCCATCCAACCATCTCATCCTCTGTCGTCCCTTTTTCCTCCTGCCTTCAGTCTTTCCCAGCATCAGGGTCTTTTCCAATGAGTCTGCTTTTAGCATCAAGTGGCTAAAGTTTTGGAGCTTCAGCTTCAGTATCAGTCCTTCCAATGAATATTCAGGTTGATTTCCTTTAGGACTGGCTGGTTTGATCTCCTTGCAGTCCAAAGGACTCTCAAGAGTCCTCTCCAGCACCACAGTTCAAAAGTGTCAGTTCTTTGGCACTCAGCCTTCTTTATAGTCCAACTCTCACATCTGAACATGACTACTGTAAAAACCAAAGCCTTGACTAGATGAACCTTTGTCGGCAAAGTGATGTCTCTGTTTTTTAATACGCTGTCTAGGTTTGTCATAGCTTTTCTTCCAAGGGCTAAGTGTAGCTTTTCTAATTTAATGTCTCCATAACCACTTTTGATAACGTCAGAAAGGCCCTTGTGCCTGTGGAACAGCCTCTGGGGTATATTTTTCCTTCCTTGGCTCCTTCATAAGAGATAGTATAGCAGGAATTAAGCTGAGGTTGAGTTAAACATGTCGACTATGGACACAGACCTCAAATCCTTTTCTGGAAGCCAATGTGCTATTTAAATAATGTCTGCTAGTTTTCATGGCTTGCTTTAATCAATAGAATGAAGTTTCTAATGAATAGAAGTTTGAAGATGCCTTTTTGCATCTTAATGCTGTTGAAAATGTTGCTATTATCTGTAATTTGACTTCAAAACCCACAGGAAGTGGGGAGTAGGTCATGTTTGCTATTTCCTGTTGTTTTTGGAACTGATAATGATCCAAGAAAGCTTTAAGACCAGTAAGAAACATTCCAGACAAAAGCCCACTGGGAAAACACAGAATTAAATCAGAATGTGATCTTTGTAGAAGAAAGATCACTAGGAATACATTGTCTTTTTAATTTCAAAAAAGAGAAAGAAACTTCCACTTACATTTTCATCATGGTATATTCCTAGTGAGTGAAAATGGCAGTGGGTATCTTTTCTTTTTCTTTCTAATTTCATAATGTGTGAATCCTGGGTTTCTCTGTTTTTCCTTGAGTTAAAGTCCTAACCAGATATCTTTAATAAGTATCATCATCTGTTTCCTTTTGATATAATCAGTGTGGAATATATTGCCCTGCAATTTTCCCATCTTGCCCTGACTCACAGGAAAGGATGAGGTTTTCCAGGCCTTTCCTTTGGCTCCTTAGCCCATAAAGAAGTATTTTTATGGTTGGGGGAGGAGTTCTGGTTGCTCATGGGTTTGACGTCAAGACCAGACTATTTCTAAAGAGACAATTGGCATGGAGTTCCTTCCAGGAACTTGTAAAGATACTCTTGTTAAACAGTCTTCCCTGGTCCCACCATGTCTGAATAGCCCATGCCTCTCAGACAGGATGTACTTGTTCTAAATATACCCCAGAATGATTGCTTCTGATTTTGTCTGAAGGTCGGAAGGAGTCTTTGGAGGTCAGTCTCACCGTCCCTTTCCCTCTAGGGATGTGGGAAATATTTTCAGTCGGTTCAATCGCTCAGTCGTGTCCAAATCTTTGTGACCCCATGGACTGTAGCACACCAGGCCTCCCTGTCCATCACCAACTCCCAGAGCTTACTCAAACTCATGTCCATTGAGTCAGTGATGCCATCCAACCATCTCATCCTCTGTCATCCCCTTCTCCTCCCACCTTCAATCTTTCTCAGCATCCAGGTCTTTCAAATGAGTCAGTTGTTTGTATCAGGTGACCCAAGTATTAGAGCTTCAGCTTCAGCATCAGTCCTTCCAATGAATATTCTGGACTGAGTTCCTTTAGGATGGACCGGTTGGATCTCCTTGCAGTCCAAGAGACTCTCAAGAGTCTTATCCAACACCACAGTTCAAAAGCATCAATTCTTTGGCGCTCAGCTTTCTTCATAGTCCAACTCTCACACCCATACATGACTACTGGAAAAATCATAGTTTTGACCAGACAGACCTTTGTTGGCAAAGTAATGTCTCTGCTTTTTAGTATGCTGTCTAGGTTGATAATAGCTTTTCTTCCAAGGAGCAAGCATCTTTTAATTTCATGGCTGCAGTCACAATCTGCAGTGATGTTGGAGCCCCCCAAATAAAGTCTCACTGTTTCCATTGTTTCCCCATCTGTTTGCCATGAAGTGATGGGACCGGATGCCATGATCTTCGTTTTCTGAATGTTGAGTTTTGCTGCTGCTAAGTCGCTTCAGTCATGTCCGACTCTGTGCGACCCCATAGACGGCAGCCCACCAGGCTCCCCGGTACCTGGGATTCTCCAGGCAAGAACACTGGAGTGGGTTGCCATTTCCTTCTCCAATGCGTGAAAGTGAAAAGTGAAAGTGAAGTCGCTCAGTCGTGTCTGACTCTTAGCGACCCCAGGGACTGCAGCCCACCAGGCTTCTCCATCCATCGGATTTTTCAGGCAAGAGTACTGGAGTGCGGTGCCATTGCCTTCTCTGTGTTGAGTTTTAAACCAGCTTTTTCACTCTCTTCTTTCACTTTCATTAAGAGGCTCTTTAGTTCTTCGCTTTCTGCCATAAGAGTGGCATCATCGGCATATCTGAGGTTATTGCTATTTCTCCCTGCAGTCTTGATTCCAGCTTGTGCTTCATCCAGCCCGGCATTTCGCATGAGGTACTCTGTATATAATGTAAATAAACAGGGTGACAATATACATCCTTGACATACTCCTTTCCAGATTTGGAACCAGTTTTTTGTACTTTATAAATCTTTGCTTTGGGTTGAAATAATGAAGACCTTGTTGAGAATTAGAAACGCTTGTTTCTAACTCTTAATAAGCTTTCTCTGGTGGAAGTCCTTCAAGGGGGCTTAGATGTTTCCATCATTCATAGTCATGATCATCTGAGGAGTTTAGTGAAAGCTGACGTGGAGGGGGCTGAGGGTCGGGCCTGCTTCTCTGTTGATGAAAGAACGCAGTGCTGCAGGGATGGTTTCATACCAGGTCCCTGGGGCAGGGTAGCTCCATCCTTGGCTCTTCCCCTTCCTGTTTCCACTTCCAGCCGTACTAAATGACCTTCAGCTCTATAATCAGCAGAGGGGAGAGAGTCCAAGGTGACCCCAGTAAAACCCCGGTAGGGTTTTAGCTTTTAATTTGGTTGTATTTATAGTCAGGAAACCATTGCAATCTTGAACTCCTGGTTAGGTTTGGTGGGTGCTAAAGGCTCCCATTGCAATCAGCTTATACTGCAGCAACCCCTGGCTTGAAAATCAGTTACTTAGAGCCTAGTAAAGAGTTCTGGCGTGTTATTTGCAACACTGATACCCCTTCTTTGTACTCTTAACACTTGTATGAAAGTAATAACAGCTGTGATTTCTTGCATGTATTATTTCTTGGAAACGACCTTTTTCACCTGTTGATGAATAAGATAAGTCTGTCCATTCCCCATCTTTAGATCTTTCTATGCCTCCCCTTTACACAAGAGATAAGCTCTAAGCTTGTTAACACAGGCATCCTAACTTCATCTCTGCCACCCTCCACCCTCAGGGTCTCCAGCCACATAGAATAACATTGTATACTTCATGCCATATACATTCTTCCTTTATATCAGTGTGCTAGTCTCACTACCTGGAAAACTTTTACCAGGATCTTTGCCTAAGAAACCCCTGTTGTTCCTGCAGTAGCCAGCCTTATGAGGTATTGCCCCCCCCCCCCAGGAAGTGTTCCTTGGTCTCCCCAGGCTAAGTCCAGTGTTCCTCCTCCATGCTCCCATAGAACCTGGAACTCGGTCTGAATTGTGATTGACTGTGGGCTCCTTGAAGGCAGGGCCACAGCTTCAGCATCCTTATGGGTTGGATTCGCAGTATGGTACACAGAATGAGTAGCAGTGTAACATTTGTTACCAAGTGTTATTTATCTTAACAAGCATTTAACACTCCCATTGGTTTTCTCAAAGTGCAAGGGTTGGATGCCAGATGAAATAGCACTGAATAATCAGAAAAACTTCATCTTACTCGTTTAAAAAAAAAAATCAACAATGTTCGGTGTTTGCTTCTAGATCTTGGAAGCCCTGAAGGCATTGCTCTTGACCACCTTGGGCGCAACATCTTCTGGACCGATTCTCACCTGGATCGGATAGAAGTTGCGAAGCTAGATGGGACCCAGCGCCGCGTGCTGTTTGAGACTGATTTGGTGAATCCCAGAGGCATCGCAGCAGATTCTGTGAGAGGGTGCGTGCATGCTTAGTTGCTTCAGTCGTGTCCAACTCTGTGTGACCCTGTAGACTATGGCCCGCTGGGCTCCACTGTCCTTGGGATTCTTCAGGCAAGGATACTGGGGTGGGTTGCCCTCCTCCAGAGTGTCTTGCCACCAGGGAAGCCCCCGTGAAAGGGTATCTTTGTGTAAATCTCTGTGTGTGTCTATTCTATTTGCATCTGCCCTTGTGCATATTCTCAGAGTTTGACTGTAACTCCAGCATTGCTCTCCTGAAGTGAATGAGTTTAGGATGAATGAGTCCACAGTTGGTGGCTTATAGATATCTGAGGTGAAGCCAGAACATTTATTACAATCCACCGGAATCATGAACTCGGTACCATGTTCCACTTTCAGATCTTTTACCAAGAGCTTTGTAAATTGACAGCTCAGAAATTGGATATTTCCACTTGGATTGAATGTTAATCAAATATTTGAGTTGTATCAACCGCAGAAGAATATCAAGGTAGCATCAGTGTCCCCCTGAGGCTCCTTCCTGGGGCCCAACCCAGCATGAACACCTTGGAGGCCCTCCCCAGGGGTTTTGTGAGCACATTTTTTCCCTCACTGCAGGCTCTGAGTCTTACACCCTAGGCCCATGTGTCCTTGATGCTTTGACATGAGGCCACATCTCTTGTTCTGTGGCCATTTGGCTGCCTCTCTAATTTCAGGTGCCTTGACCACTTCTCCTTCCAGCATTGCTTCTGGGCTTCATCCTCTCGGTCTGCTGTGCCTTCCTGTGTGCTGACAGCATATGAGAATCCCCATGTGTTTATGTCAGTTATGGTGCTCTATTTTTTAAAAACAGTTTCATTGAGATATGTCAGTTATATTTCAGAGAAGTGAAGTTGTTAGTAACAGGATTCAAGTGAAAAACTAAATAGAAGGGTCTTTACAAAGGCAATGTGTCTTGGCACCTCCAGATCCTTTATAGCCATTAATTTTTATTTTATTTTTGAATTTCTTGGTCGCACTGCATGATCTGCAGGATCTTAATTCCCTGGTCAGGTATTGAACTCAAGCCCCCTGCAGTGGAAATGCAAAGTTCTAATCCCTGGACCGCCAGGGAATTCCCTATCATAGGTTCTTTTTAAGTGCCTTTAACTGAACTTTTTCTTATGCATCTTCATTGTTTCTCTTCCCCTCTCACTTCCTTTTCCTCCAGGAATCTTTATTGGACAGATTGGAACAGAGATAACCCCAAAATTGAAACTTCCTACATGGATGGCACAAACCGGAGGATCCTGGTGCAGGATGACCTGGGCTTGCCCAACGGGTTGACCTTCGACGCCTACTCATCTCAGCTCTGCTGGGTGGATGCAGGTGACGGAAAGCCCCGGGCCTGGCTCCTGGGTCGGAACAGGGCTTCGTTTTTTACCAAATAATCATTGTTACCCACTGTACTATCAAGAGTAGCTGTTGTGGGGAATAAGGAATAAGATAATTGCTTTTTTCCTGCACAAACACCAGCTGCATATCTTTGCTCTGAAGCTGTTTCCCTCAGCTTGATGTAGTCCAGGGAGTATTCTCAATCTTTCAGGTCAGGGGTCAGCAAACTACAGCCTTGTGCCAAATGGTTTGACCACCTGTTTCGGTGTAACCTGGGAGCTGTAAAAGGTTTTTACATTTTTAAATGTTACATTTTAAAAGCTTATACAAATGCTTGTATAATATCCTTGATTTCATCTCTTGGCCCGCACAACCTAAAATAGTTACTATCTGGCCCTTTAAGAAAAGTTTGCTGACCCCCAGAGCCTGTCCTTATCCTGGTGCCTGTTAAGCAATTCATGACTTACATTTTTGTGGCCCCTGCTTGTCCCCAGGCAGGGCTAAGGCGGCACTTGAAGCCAAGGAGGATAAAGTAAGGCAGCCCCACTGTGTGCTCCTGCCCGGGCAGATTTGGGGTGCCCCTGATGTGGGCCGGATGCTCAGTTGGGAAAGAATGTCAATCATCCATCCCGTCTCTGTTGAGTTCCTCCTTTGTTCTAGACACTGTCAGGTACCACGGGAGATGCAGGTAGTAAGGCAAGCACAGTTAAGTGAAAACTCAGGCCTTAACTTGGTCATAATGCAGGCACTGATGCGCGGCTGTGCATAGCTGCTAGCCCAGTGGGAGCAGCTTAGCAATTCTGAGGGCTCTGAAAATGGGGGCGGCGGGGAGGGTAGGTCTAGAGAGGCAGGAGGGATTTGAACAGGAGCTGGAAGATGGCATCCTTCTTACTGAGCCCCTGGCTGCTCCAGAAGTGGGTGAAACGGGGTGCTCTTCCTCTGCTCTGGCTCCCTTCTCCCCATCAGAACCAGGTATGGGTACCGGATGGAGGTGGGACTGACCAATGAGGGGGGCAAGGGAGGACGAACAGACAACTTCCCAGGTTAGAAGAGCACATCATGTGTTCTCTTGGGTCTGAGCCTGTAACACTGACTCTCACCCTTGCCCTCCTTGCTTTTGGTTTTGGACACAAAGGGGCCATTTCTTGTGTGAACAATGGACGACTTGTTCTCACCCCACACAGGCACCCATCGGGCCGAGTGCCTGAAGCCTGGTCAGCCCAACAGACGCACGGTTCTTGAAGGGCTGCAGTACCCTTTTGGGGTTACGAGCTTCGGGAAGAATCTGTACTACACAGACTGGAAGACGTACGTCAGCTGCTGCCGCGTTGGGGCTGGGGCACCTGCCCTGCTGCCCTCTCTGGAGGCCACACCCTCTCCAAGCAGCCTCTTGGCTTGACCTTCCGCCTCCAGAGATGCCCCCTCTGCCTCACCCTCTGGTTGTCAGAGAGGAGGGCGAGGAAGGAGAGGGCAGGGACCTTCGGGGAGCAGGGGGTGCCATGTGTCATCTGGATGCTCCAGGATGGGCAGCTTCAAGTCCACAAACGGGGACGTCCTGCGCATGTGCCTTCTCTCCCTAGGAGAGACCATGCCTACTCCATGCCACTATTTTATTATAATTCTTAAACTGTAGTATTCCCAAAGTTCCTTCTTGACCTTTCCTGCAGGAAAATAGGCTTAAACCAAGCAAGCAGCTGTGGCAGGAGCATCAGTATAGAAAGTGGGTATCCCAGCTTGGAATTTAGAGCCAGAAGGCAGAGCTAGCTGACCTTTGTCCTTTCTTTAAGAAGCCAGAGAATTGCAGGCTTCAGGAAGAGGGAGGGATGGCTAGGAAGTAAGGCCAGTGTATCTGTTTTTGGTGTCTGTCTGTGCTCAGTCTTGTCTGACTCTTTGCCACCCCATGGACTGTATAGCCCACCAGGCTTCTCTGTCCATGGGATTTCCCTGGCAAGAATACTGGAGTGGGTTGCCATTTCCTCCTCCAGGGAATCTTCCCAACCCAGAGATCAAAGCCACATCTCCTGCATGGGCAGGCAGATTCTTGACTGTCTGAGCCACCTGGGAAATGGTTTATGGCCTCCAGTTTATCCCCCAGGGGCTTTCCTGGGGGCTCAGATGGTAAAGAATCCACCTGCAATGCAGGAGACCCAGGTTCAGCCCCAGGGTTGGGAAGATCCCCCGGAGAAGGGAATAGCTACCCATTCCAGTGTTCTTGCCTGGAGAATCCCATGGACAGAGGAGCCTGGCAGGCTACAGTCCATGGGGTCACAAAGAGTCAGACAGGACTGAGAGACTAATACTTTCACTTTATCCTCCAAGCGACAAAAGAGGTTGCCCTGTAGAGAAAAGTTCAAGCCATTAGATGTGTTTTTTGTTGTTAGTATATTTTTGGGTTTTGTTTGTTTGGTTATGCTGCATAGCGTGAGAGGGAATCTTAGTTCACCCACCAGGGATCAAACCACGCCCCTTGCATTGGAAGTGGAGTCCTATCCACTGGACCATCAGGGAAATCCTGCTGTTGGATGCGTTTTAACTTTCCATCCTTTGACACTCTGTAGGAATTCTGTGGTCGCTGTAGATCTCGCCATTTCCAAAGAGACGGATTCCTTCCACCCCCACAAGCAGACCCGGCTCTATGGCATCACCTCAGCCCTGTCTCAGTGTCCTGAAGGTAAGTCACCTGTGCTCTAAGTGGTCAGGGGCTGGGTTGGCCCCTGGGGCTCAGAGCCCACACTCTGGCTGCCCCTTATGTGGCCTCTGCTAGCCCTGATCACAGGGCAGGTGAGACCTAGTCCATTTCGTTAAGGGTCTTCATTAATTAGTAGGTAAGCCAGATGAATCAATAGAAAATGTTAGGGAATGAAGTGGATAGTAGATAAAGGTGAGGAAAAGTATTGACTCTTGGAGTGGGTCTAAAAGTATAATGTCTTCAGGCCCCAAGGAGGAAAAGCAGTGTTAGGATCTCTCCTGCTTTAAAATTTCATCCATTTGACCAGACAGCAGCAACAATAATTGATAGTAATAATCGCAAACATGGATGTGATACTTCCTGTGTGCTGGGTACATCCCATGTATTAGAAGTCACTATGTGCTTTGTATCCACTGGTTCACTCAATCCTCAAGAAAGCCCTGAGGTAGGTGTTATTATTTTGCCCACTTTATAAATGAGGATACTGAAACCACTTGCCCAGAATCACACGGTCACTTCCGGTGCTCATGGCAGCAGACATGGGGGTAAGTTAGGCACCTGGCTGCAAAGTCTATGCTATGCTGCCTCCTTCCTGACTTCCCTCCTGCCCCCCAGTCAAGCGGCCAAGCTGGATAGAAAGCACATTCTGCTTTAAAATTCCAGCTCCATGTTATGACCAGAGCTGAAAAACCTTCCCTGAGCTTTGCTAATAGCTTTGATGGTAAATCTGCATATCCCCCAGATCAGGAATCAAGGTTTTGGCACATTTGGCACATCCTCAATGATGAGGAAACAGCCAGGAGATAAGCTGAGTTAAATTTTCTATACAAATTCGTTGTTCTCCAGGAGCCCCCGTAAGCTTGGCCTCCAGAGACCAAAAAGCGGGCCAGTGTGGAGGTCACTCTCTTACCTGATTGAACCACTGAGCTTACCTCTGCCTTTTCCAGGTCACAACTACTGCTCGGTGAACAACGGCGGCTGCACGCACCTCTGCCTGGCCACCCCAGGAAGCAGGACCTGCCGTTGCCCTGACAACACCCTGGGAGTTGACTGTATCGAGCAGAAATGAAGAGTTCCTCTCGTGCTCTCCAAAGTATTTCACAGCAGCACCCTTCTTGAAAGGGTCCAGACTGAAAACTGTCTGACTGGTGGCTAAATGGCCACCAGGCCCAGGTCCAACCCAGCCTGAACCCCAACAGCATTGCCCTCACTGTTGCCCAAAACACACGCCCTCAGCTTCTGGAATGCGAAAGCCTCTACTCCTACACAAAGAAAGTCTCCCTGGTCCCAGCCCTCGGACTAGCTTATACAGCCCTGAGTGAGGATTATATGCCCCATCCTGGTGCTGGAAACTGGCCCCAACCTTCATGCCCCCATGGTGAGCAGAGCTTCCCCAGGCCTGAGCTCCCCACTTCTGTGGCCTTACGAGCTCAGCCTCACTTTGAGACACCCATCGTTCCTTCAGTTGCTGGACACAGCAAGGCTGTGAGCGAAAGAGGGAGTTTGCTCTCCCACAGTTTTTCTTGGTGCTCTGATTTCCCTCTTTATACTCCTAGCCTTTAACCCCTGAGTTCTATATCACCTGCATCCTGCCCAAGGCAGGAAGTGAGCAAGCCCTGCCTTTTGGCCAAAACTCACCCTGTCCAAAAGATATATGGGTATTTGGTGGATGATACTGAGCAGCCTCTCCCAGATAAGTTATTGGCATTTCTGCAGTAGTTGTTGGCAGTCAAAGGCTTAAATCAAGAGTGTCCAGAGAAATTCAAGGTGCAGAGTCAGATATTTGAGGATGGGGATTTTATTGATGTGCCTTAAATTATACCAAAGATTACCAAAGTATTCCTCTTTATCCAAAGCACTTGGATCGTAGCATCTGGTTCTTGGGGCAGCACAGCCCCACTGCTGCCACCTGTGTCCAGCCTCCATCTGAGATACAGGCTGGGACTGGTACCGGGGACCCCTGTCGTCCCTCATGTCTGCCCTCCACCCACGAGCGCCGATCTACAATCAGTCATGAGCTCTGTGCCCCTTTGTTGATCCTCCACCCGTGGCCCTTGCTCACTGTATTCTCATCCCAAGACACAAGGCCAAACTGAATATCAGTCCTCCAGACACTTTGTTGCTCCTTGGTGCAATTAAAAGGACCATCACCACATTTCACATTTATGTTTCTAGAGCTTGTATAGAAAACATCTCCTCACCATATATAGCTAGTGTTACTTTTTTTTGGAGGGGTGGTCACTGCTTCCCAAAGTCCTAAAAGAATAGAAATTTTGAATTGAAAGCTAAGGATAAGGAATTTGAGTCGGTGAAGATCGGGTTAAGGGAAGTGAGACGACTCAGTGAAAAGTATCACAAAGAGATTGATCAAGAGCAGGAATGAAAAACCCAAGAGGAAGGATAAAGGAGAAGATTTAACAATAGCAATAAGAAAAGCTCTTAAATAATGCCAAAGAAAAAATGGTATGTTCTTTGCCAGAGGACACTTCTACACTAACAACATGGAACAATTTCCCTGTTTTTCTTCTTAAGGAAGATATCCCTATTCTAATCTGCAAACCTCAGTACCCTAAACTCCCCGCTATACACACCTCTTTTCTGCAGCACATAGGAGCCTGAATGGAAAGAGCCTTTCCTTGAATAACTGAAGTTTGTTTTGAGAAGCAAGTATATTCCCAAGAATCACAAGGTTTGGGGAACACATGAGTCTTTTATATAGCCCAACCACGTGAATTAGTTTAACTTTCCTTTTCTATTTATCATTCCATATCCAATCCTCTATATCAAATGTTTTTGTCATGATTTTTGTATAATGTTTATAACTATTTTATTCATTTTGCTAGATTCATTCTAAACTATTTTTAAATGGTAAATTTGTAAACTGTGGAAACCATTGAAGGTGCTTGTTAACTGTTCCCCAGATTTGTACAAGTATTGGATAACTCCTTGAGTTTACAGCTGTATAAATTTTAGTGCAGAAAATAAACTTTTTTTGTTAAAAAAGTCTTTTTTTATCTTGTTTGAATGAAGATACTTAATCTCAGGAGGCAGATTCACAATGGAAAGACAGTCATTTAATAATCTGCAATACCTATTTAGCCCCTAGTGTTATAAGGGATGGTTTTTTTTCCCCCAAGTGAGTCTGCAAACTTAGGGGCTGATAATTGACTTTAAAATAATTCTATCATGGACTTCACCCTTTTAAACATTGTTTTCATTTTTTATAAAAATTTTAGCTACAGGCAATAGCATTTCCTGGTTCAGTTCTGAAGATGAACTGTGTTTCCCTGCCCGCCAACCCCCCCGGCCCTTTTCATATCCAGAAAGAACAAAGATATCTTCCTGGCGTTGGCCATGGAGTGAGACCCCCCCTGGTCTGTTCTCAGCTGCCACCAAAGCGTAGTTCCACCTATGTTGACCCTGAGGGGGATGAGAATGGGCCTTTGACTTGGACAGAGTGAAGGGGGCTCAGAAATGGCAGGAATGAGGTTGCAATCATTGTTAAGAAGGGACCTGGTGCCTCAGGGCCTGCCTATAAAACGGCACCACCAATGGAATCAGTTATTAATACATCCTGCCGATGTGGACTTACTGATGGATAACTTATATTAGGGCTAAATATTAATACCAGTGTTTTATTCTGGTCATAAAATCTAGATATATTAAAGTGATGTCAGGGAAGATGGTGCAATAGGAAGCTTTAGGAATCCACCCCTCTATCAAAACAATGGCTGAACTGGCAGGAGCCATCTGAATAAACTACTTTAGAACTTTGTGTCTAGTAGGATGCTTGCAGCACCCAGGAGAGAGTTTGATGAAGAGACTGGTAAGTTTCAGCTTCCCCTTAATAGTGGCAGCCATCCCCTTTCCCCAGCCCCAAGACACTCAGCTATGGGGACAGTAGCCCATGTTCCTAGTGCAGTTCACTAGGACCAGGTTGAGTGATAAGAACCAGCATTGCTCTCCAAAAATCAAGATATGTGGGTTCTGACTACTGCTGCTCATTGTTTGGGGGCCAGCATAGAGGAAAAATCTTCGTGACATTGAATTTGGCAATAATTCCTTGTATATGACACCAAAAGTACAACCAACAAAAGAAAAAGACAGATACAAACTAATTGCTGGAGATGGTGTGGAGAAAAGGGAGCCCTCCTATACTGTTGGTGGGAATATAATTTGGTACAACCATTATGGAGAACACTGTAGAGGTTCCTTAAAAAAAAAAAGTTACCATGTGATCCAACAAACCCTCTCCTGGGCATATGTCCAGAGAACACCGTAATTCAAAAAGATACATGCACCTCAGTGTTGACTGCAGCACTATTAACAATAGCCAAGACATGGAAACAACCAAAAGGTCCGTTCCCTGAGGCATGGGTACAGAAGATGTGGTACGTTGGACTATTACGTAGCCATAAAATGAATGAAATAAGGCCGTTTGCAGCATTATTTATTATCTAGGTCCATGGATGGACCTAGAAACTGTCACACTGAGTGAAGTAAATCAGAGGCAAATACCATATGATATCACTTACATGTGCACTCCAAAAATGGTACAAATGAACTTATTTCCAGAACAGAAGTAGTTACAGATGTAAAAAACACAGAACAAATTTATGGTTATCAGGGAAAAGTGGAGGGATAAGTTGGAAGATTAGAATAAACATATACACACTACTATATACAAAATGGATAACTAATTAGCATCTACTGTATAGCATAGGGAACTCAACACCCTATGATGACCTACATGGGAAAAGAATCTAAAGAAAGATTGGATACATGTATACATGTAACTGATTCACTTGGCTGTACAGCAGAAAGTGACACGACATTGGAAACCAACTACACTCCAATAAAAAAATTTTTTAAAGAAAAATTGGTCTTCATCAAAATTAAAACCTTTTTGTGCATCAAAGGATACTCTCAAGAGAGTGAAATGACAACCAACCCATGAAAGAGTAGAAAGTATATGTGAATCCTCTATCTGAAAATGGTTAATATCCAGAATATATAAAGAACTACAACTCATCAATAACAATAGCAAAAACAACCTAATTAAAAAATGAACAAAGGGTTTGAATAAACATTTTTTCAAAGAGGGATTCCTTGGTGGCTCACAAGGTAAAGCATCTACCTGCAATGCGAGAGACCCAGGTTCAATCCCTGGGTCAGAAAGATCCCCTGGAGAAGGAAATGGCAACCCACTCCAGTACTCTTGCCTAGAAAATTCCATGGATGGAGGAGTCTGGTGGGCTACAGTCCATGGGGTCACAAAGAGTCAGACACAACTGAGTGATTTCACTTTTTCAAAGATGATATGCAAATGGCCAATAAGCACATGAAAAGATGGTCAACATTATTATTCTTTAAGGAAATGCCAATCAAAGTCACAATTAGATACCACTTCATACCCATTAAGACGGAGGATGGCTATCAGAAACAGAAAGGAACAAGTGTTGAGGATGTGGAGAATTGGAACCCTTGTGTATTTCTACTGGGAATGTAAAATGGTGCAGTCACCATGGAAGTCAGTTTTGTAGTTCCTTACAATGTTGGATATAGAATTACCACATGACCCAGCAATTCCACTTGGAGGAATATACCCAAAAAATTGAAAGCAGGGAGTCAGATGCTTTAAGTACACCACTGTTTACAGCAGCATTATTCACAAAAGCCGGAAAATGAAAATAACCTGAGTCCATCCATAGATGAAAGGAGAAACAAAATCTAAAGTACACATATAATGGAGTAATATCAAGCCATAAAAAGATATACAGTTCTTACATATGCTACAACATTGATAAACCTTGAAGTCATCATGCTAAATGAAATAATCCAGTCACAAAGGAATGAATATTATTATTCCACTTATGTTAACAGACATATTCATCGAGACACAGAGTAGATTAGAGGCTACCAGATGCTAGGGGCAGGAGGAAAGGGGACTTATTACTTTATGGTTTCAGAGTTTTTGCTTAGAGTAATTAAAAAGTTTTGAATATAAATAGTGGTGATGGTTACAGAACACTATGAATGTACTTAATGGCACTTAATTGTATACTTTTTTTAAAATTGTACACTTAAAATGGCAAATTTTATGCAATATATAGTCTACCACAATTTTCAAAAATTACTAATATGCCAAAGAACACTGAATGTACACTTTATTTTTTTTTTCTTTTTATTTATTTACTTATTTTTTCTAAGGGCAGGTAAAACAAAAAAGAAGACCCAGTGAAAAAACCCCACAGCTCACCATCTGACCTTCTGGATCATAAATCAAGGGCATTTGGGGTAGGGAAACTACCTAAAGGCTGAGAGAGTAGTTATTAGCCAAGTCCAAATAACCCTAGTCAAGAGTCAAGCAGAGCTAAGCGGCACCCTGAGAATTTAACTCAGGTGTGTGAAACTTTACCAGGTTATGGATGCCCCTTTTGGAAATCCAAAACGATTCCACATCTATTTACTGGGCTTCCCTAGGGGCTCAGATGGTAAAGCAGATGTCTGCAATGTGGGAGACCCGGGTTCAATCCCTGGATCTGGAAGATCCCCTGGAGAAGGAAATGGCAACCCACGCCAGTACCCTTGCCTGGGAAAATCCCGTGGACGGAGGAGCCTGGTAGGCTACAGTCCATGGGGTTGCAAAGAGTCTGAGCGACTTCACTTCCACAATGCATGCACACAGCAGGCTGGGTGTGGAAGACTAGCTGTGGGCTTCCTGAGACTACTGCTAAGGGATGCAAGAAATACTAGCATTAGAAAAATCACTTTAGGCGCTAAGGATTGGATGCTTTCACTGCAATGTGTTCTACTTAACAAACTTTTCCTATTACGTGCCATACATGATTGTAGCCTCAGATGAACTATTTTTAAATAGCGTGAACGCAAAAAGCAAGCGACAAGTCTCCAAATACACTCAGGTACAGAGAGAATGAAAAGCAAAAAAAAAAAAAAAGAAAAGGTTGGGGGTGGGGGGTGGTGGGAAAGGGCTGCCCTGAAGCAGCCGAGAGACTAGACACGAGGTCCTCCTTGGAGTCTACTTTTTAATAAGCAGAGGGTCCGGGCAGCATTTTAAATGGGTGAATTGCATGGCGTGTAAATTGTTTCTCAATAAATCTGCTTTCTAAAAGATCACTGTAATTTTTTAAAAAGTGAGTAACATAAGCTTGGCAAAATTCTTATTTTTTGTTGTAGTTGTTGTAGTTGGCTGAGTTCTAACATTTCCAAGATTCTAATCTAGGTGCTTTGCAGATGGAATTAAGATTATTGGTTAACTGGACCCCAAGAGGCCAATCCATTCAAGGATGACATCGGGGTCTCCTTTGCCACCTGGCTTCCAGCAGGGAGGGGAGGGAGAGGGGAGCATGAATCCAAGTGTTTATTCCCCACTCCCTCCATGCTGAGTTGCTGAGCGCTATCTGTACCTCTTGACCACTGAAGGTCACTGCCCACCTCCAGGTGTCCCCTCTGTCTGCTAGGGTCCCAGGAAGCACTCCCTTCCCTGGCCTCTGGGTCTCGGGGAGTTAGCAGGCCCCTGGCACTGTCTACTAGGACTGCTCTATTCTAAGGTTCCCCACAGGCCAGCCGTAACTTTAAGCTTCCCTCAAATTATCCAAATATGAGCACACCTGGCTTTTTTTTGAGACTTGTTGCTCTTGTTCAGTCGCTAAGTCGTGTCCGACTCTTTGCGACCCCATGGACTGCAGCATGCCAGGCTTCCCTGTCCTTCACCATCTCCCGGAGTTTGCTCAAACTCATGTCTATTTAGTCAGTGATGCCATCCAACCATCTTGCACTCTGTCGTTCCCTTCTCCTCCTGCCTTCAATCTGTTGAGACTGCTGACTGAAAAAAATTGCACAACCTGAAAGTTGAGAATTATGTTCTATTCTGCAGATTTATGAGGACTTTACCGTCTCAGATTACTCTGAGGGACTGCTCCGAAGAGATAAGAGAGGAGCCAGGATACAAAGGAGTTTTGCAAAAGCAAAAAATAGAGAACCAGAACATCAAAAAGTTGTTGCTAACTAAAGAAAACAAGACATCTCAATGAATTTAGCACTTTTCTATGTATCCATGCATGCTAGGAAATGGCAACCCACTCCAGTATTCTTGCCTGGAGAATTCCATGGAGAGAGGAGCCTGGTGGGCTACAGTCGGACACACGAGAAACGTGTGCTCATGGGAGGTCACAAAGAGTCGGACACGACTGAGTGACTAACACACATGCATGCTAAGTCGCTTCAGTCATGTCTGACTCTGTGTGACCCTATGGACTATAGCCTGCCAGGCTCCGCTGTCCATGGGATTCTCCAGGCAAGAATACTGGAGCGGGTAGCCATGTCCTTCTCCAGGGGGTCTTTGCAACCCAGGAATAGAACCCAGGTCTCTTTACTGCCTGAGCCACGAGGGCAAGGAAAGATGTATGGGAAGAAGATGCAAAAGTCTGGGTTTATTAAAACTGTTCCTTTGATGTGCACCTTATCTAGGTATGTAGGGCCAGTATTCTGTTTTCCTCCATCCTGAATCCCCTCAGGGCGTGTGGTCCAAAGTGGCTGCAGTGACTAATGGCAGCAATATCCTTTGTTTACTGATAGTCCACAAACCCTGACTGATACATAAGATCATAGCTCTATGATCTGCTTTAGAGCTTTTTTTTTTTTTTTGAGTTTGTTTTTAAATGTTTGTTCAGTTCAGTCACTCAGTCGTGTCCAACTCTTTGCAACCCCATGAATCACAGTACACCAGGCCTCTCTGTCCATCACCAACTTCTGGAGTCCACCCAAACTCATGTCCATCGAGTCGGTGATGCCTTCCAGCCATCTCATCCTCTGTCATCCCCTTCTCCTCCTGCCCCCAATCCCTCCCAGCATCAGGGTCTTTTCCAATGCTTGTAGTTAAGTCTAAAAAAATTAAAAATATTTTTTCATAACCACTCTTCACATGTACTAGTGTCCGGTTAGGATACATGTCAGTAACTAACAGATATGAATTATACCGGTGTACCAAAAAAATATACCAAAAGGCCCTATTTATTTTGTAGCTCATTTTGATTTTCAGATACAGAGCCTGCAACTGCGGAAAGAATCTGCTCACCCAGTTCAGTACAGTGGTTGCTCAGTCACTCTGGGGTCATAACTCAGTTATATTAAGGAGCATCATTGCCCCAGTCTTCCTCAGGTTCTCCCCCAGACCCCCCAAACTTCATTTGAAACTGAGCAAGACCCTGTGAGGTTCTTCTGGGCACAAAAACCTTTGTGTCCCCAGTTTTTTGTTTGCAGGGTAAAGGCTTCAACCTCCTAGACCTTCCTGAGTACCAAAGAGCAGATTCAATTACTAATCAGGGAAGGCAGAGAACGCAGAAACAAAAGAGGATCAACCAAGAAACTGGTGCAGCCACTAAAGCAGGATGCTGGTTCCTCCTCAAGGGGAATACATGTCAACTTAAAAAATATTCACAACCTAAAAGTTGAGAGTTATGTTTTATTCGGTGGGAATTTTTAGGACTTCAAGCCAGGGAAGCAGCATCTCAAGTACCCCAAGAAAACTGCTCTGAGGAGGCGAGGGGAGGATCCAGGTTATGTAGAAGTTTTGCAGGTGGTCTGAACATCAGAAGATTATGGCTAATTAAAGAAAGTGGGCTTCCCTAGTGACTCAGATGATAAACTATTTGCCCACAATGCAGGAGACCGGGGTTCCATCCCTGGGTTGGGAAGATCTCCTGGAGAAGGGAATGGCTACCCACTCCAGTATTCTTGCCTGGAGAATTCCATGGACTGGCAGACTACAGTCCATGGGGTGGCAAAGGGTAGGGACACAGCTGAGCGACATTTTTCACTTTCAAAGTAAACCAGGTATCTCAAGTTGAGGAATGTAGCACTCTTCTATGTATGGGAAGATGCCAGAGTCTGGGCTCACTGGAACCTTTCAGAGCAGCTCAGCTATCTGGGGCCAGTGTCCTGCGTTTTCACATCCTGAGCTTCGTTTGCTCGGGGCTCTCCTAGGGAGTGGCTGTCAACCGGTGGCTGCCAGACAGCGGGTCTTCTACCCCTTCCCAAGGTCCTCAAGGGCTTACCATCTCACGTTGGAAGGTTGCAATCCCCGATGCCTGTGACACCCGTGTTTACTGATATGGTAGGAAACATTTCATCTCTCATACATAGCAAGGCCTTTGAGTTCTTCTTCAGGAACTAAAGCCCTCATCCAGGTGGAGGATGGTAACTTAAGGCTGAGCACAAGGTACCTCACCACAAACTAATCAGGAGAAAGACACACACTCTGCGGCCGTCACCCCACATTTTGCCTGTAACAACTTCTCTCCCCCAAACAGTTTGGGGTTGTTGAGCATGAACCATTCATTCTCCTTGCTTGGCCCTACAATAAACCTTTCTCTGCTCCAAACTCCTGAAACCACAAAACTCAGATGGGATTTGAACCCAGCCAAAACTCAGATTTGGGACTTGAGCCCATGGGCTGGGACTCAACCCCACTATCTTTTTTTAAAATTTCTTAATCTATTTTAATTTGAGGCTAATTACTTTACAATATTGTGGTGATTTTTGCCATACATTGACATGAATCAGCCGTGGGTGTATATGTGTCCCCCATCCCAAACCTCCCTCCTACCTTCCTCCCAGTCCATGAAGCTCAAGTTCTTTATCTCTCAGGGCAGAAGGGATTCAGCAAGAGGCAAAGTGATAGGTAAAAAGTGGATTTATTTAGAGAGCTACACATTTCATTGACAGAATATGGACCATCTCAAAAGGCGAGCATGCACTAAAATATGAGGTGGCTATTTTGGGGGGCTCCAAAATCACTGCAGATGGTGATTGCAGCCATGAAATTAAAAGACGCTTACTCCTTGGAAGGAAAGTTATGACCAACCTAGATAGCATATTAAAAAGCAGAGACATTAGTTTGCCAACCCGTCTAGTCAAGGCTATGGTTTTTCCAGTGGTCATGTATGGATGTGAGAGTTGGACTATAAAGAAACCTGAGTGCCGAAGAATTGATGCTTTTGAAGAAGCATCAACTCCAAGAGTGTTGGAGAAGACTCTTGAGAGTCCCTTGGACTGCAAGGAGATCCAACCAGTCCATCCTGAAGGAGATCAGTCCTGGGTGTTCGTTGGAAGGACTGACGCTGAAGCTGAAACTCCAATACTTTGGCCACTTCATGCGAAGAGTTGACTCATTGGAAAAGACCCTGATGCTGGGAAAGATTGAAGGCGGGAGGAGAAGGGGACGACAGAGGATGAGATGGCTGGATGGCATCACTGACCCCATGGGCATGAGTTTGAGCAAACTCTGGGAGCTGGTGATGGACAGGGAGGCCTGGCGTGCTGCGATTCACGGGGTCGCAAAGAGTCGGACACGACTGAGCGACTGAACTGAACTGATTTTCTATGGGCGGGCAATAAGTGGGAGAATTATTCCTACTATTTTCAAGAAGAGGCGGGCATTTCCAGGACTTGGGCTACCCGCTCACTTTTTGGCTTTCTACGATTGGCCTCAGAAGTGTCATGGCGCCTGTGGGTGTGTCATTAGCATACGCTAATATACTACCGTGAGTGCCCAGCGAGTCTCGAGGTCTGCTGGGAGTCGAATTTCCACAGTCTCGAGTCTGAGAGCTCTAACCAGTTCCTGCCATATCCTCAAAGACTGTCATCCTTTTAAAGTTTCGCTGCCTCCGGCTCACTGTGTTTCGAGCACACGAACCTGTTCGGAAGCGCCTGGAGCTTGCGGACCTGCTGCTGAGGTTGTGTCCAGCCCCTCCCTCCGAGTGGCTCTCTGGGGGAGCCGCCTGCGCTCGGAAGCTCTCTCGCCCCAGCGTCTCCCTCAGTGGGTCTCAGGATCTTCGATCGCCTGATCCTCGCGGGTCACTCTGTAGCCTCCTCGTCCTAACCACTGGCCCTGCCTGGACGGCAGCTCCCCAGTCCTACAGATGGGGTGAGTAAGCTGTCCTCCCCTCTCCCAGGGAGGCAGGACAGTGGGTGGGCTGCCCTCCCTCGATGCCCTTTCCTGGGGACTTCCCAGGGGAGGTCCCTGCGGGATATGAGAGGGGCCTCCACACCCCCACTCCCTCCCACCGCCAGCGCGCCCCCCTCCCCCAAGAGCGCTTGCCTCTGTCTCCTCCCCTCCCCCTCTCTCCTCTGCTCGGAGCTCTTCTAGGGGCGATGAGGGTGGGGACTCCTCTGCCCCCAGGCATGGCCGTGGCAGTCTTCTCTGTCTCAGCCCTTGCTCACCATCATTCCAACTACAGCCTTCCTGGGCACCAGTGTAGTCCCAGTGGTGTAGACCCAGACGGTAGAGAGAAAGGGTAAGTTGATGCCTCATATGATCAATTTACCTACACATGCACACACAGACTTTAAGAGGCAGGTAAAGATGGGGAGTTTCCTGGCTGTCCAGTGGTTAAGATTCCATGCTTCCACTGCAGGGGGCCATGGGTTCAATCCCTGATTGGGAAACAGATCCTTTATGTTGCATGATGTAGCCAAGAAAAAAAAAAAAAAAAAGAAGAAGAAGAAAGAAAGAAGGATATGTCCACCTAAAAAAATTGAGAGTTGCAAGTTAAGTTTTATTTAGGGCAAAATGAGGACTGCAGCCCCAGAGATAGCACCTCCGATAGCTCTGAGAAACTGCTCCAAAGAGGCAGCGACCTAGCTCAGTACATATGCGATTTTGGTGAAAGGGGAGTTTATAGAATCAAGCACATATTTTTGCAGAAGGTTTAGTAGATGTCACTGTGAAGGAATTTAGTGCTTTCCTAGATATGAGCAGATAACAAGAATTGAGCTCATAATATCAGTTCCTGAAAATGTCTAACTATCTGAAGACCTGGTCTGCCTGTTTTTCAGGGGACAGAGTGCTTCATTTCTGCTCTCCACCCTGAACTCCCTTCAAGGGGTATTGAAGGTCAGCAGCTGTAGCAGCATATGACTTAATCCTTGAAGAGGTAGATGGCTAGTGCCCATGGCAAGTGCCATTTTGTAGCCGACAGGTATAAGTAATTCAAAAAGGCTTCTCGGAAGAAATGAAGTGTTAGGTCTTAAAAGACAGACATGCTGTGCAAATACAGTTGCTTTGATCAGCCATCCTCAAAGCCAAATGGATCCCCTCTATTACTTAAGCCATTTCATTTTAATACTTATAGCAACTAACTTTTCTTACCTGAGGAATAAAGGTTTAGGGATCTGATTACTAAGCCCAAGAGGGTTTCCACTGTTTTGTTTATCCACTCACAGATTTAGTTTAAAAACGACCACCTTGCATTGAGTATATGTCAGGTGCACACATGGCGCTGGGCTTAGACAACATAAATATTAACACTTAGAATTCCTGACAGTATAGGAGGCATGAAATTGTTGCAAGAATGGGGATCCCTTCCAGGGTCCGACAGAAGGCTCTTGTCTAACACTCAGAAGTGAAACGTCCAAAGAGACACATGTGCTGACAAAGCAAGAGCCTTCACTGGGAAGGGGCACCCGGTGGGCGAGCAGGAGGGCACAGGAACCTAGGAGAACTGCTCCGCCACTTGGCTCCCAGTCTCAGGTTTTACGGCAATGCGGTGAGTTTCCAGGTTGCCTCTGGCCAATCACTCTGACTCAGGGTCTTTCCTGGTCACGCGTCACTCATTCAAGATGGATTCCAACTTGAAGGATTCTGGGAGGTTGGTGGGATATATGAACTGGCATCTCCTCTCTCCTTTGACCTTTCCTGAGTTCTGGTTGGTGGTAGCTTGTTAGTTCGGAGTTCCTTACCAGGACCTCCTGTTGTAGCTCATGTAAGTGGTTACTACTTGGCCGAGACAGGCAGTATTGGACTGTGGTTCCCCTAACAAAAGGAAAAGTCTCATAACAGAAGTAGGTGAGGGGGGACTTCCCTGGGGCCCAGTGGTTAAGACAGCATACTGCCAATGGGAAGACTCAGGTTCGATCTCTGGTCAGGTTATTAAAATCTCACATTTTAATGATTAAAAAAAAAAAAGAAGAAGTGAGGGGAGTTCAGGCACATTCCCTCAGGAACCGAGCTCTCTGGGACCAGGCACG